ACTGGACGAGTGGGGCTGCTGGACATGTGGGGCTACTGGTCAGGTGGAGCTGCTGGACAGGTGCGGCTGCTGGACAGGTGGAGCTACTGGCTCATTTCTAGCAGCTGCTGGCACCTCTAGCACGGTTCTAGCGGCTGCTGGCACTGCTAGACGGTTCTAGCGGCTGCTGGTACTGCTAGCACGGTTCTAGCAGCTGCTGGCACTGCTAGCACGGTTCTAGCGGCTGCTGGCACTACTAGCACGGTTCTAGCGGCTGTTGGCGCTGCTAGGACGGTCTAGCAGGTCTAGGGCAACTATTTCCAGGTGGGGCGACGGGTTTCAGGTCTGGGGGCGGCGGATTTCTGGTGTGGCGGCGGTTTTCTGCTCATGGGGCGGCAGATCGCGGGTGAGGCGACGGCTAACAGACTGGGCGGCGGGTAAGGCAGCGGGTGGGGCCACGTCTAACGGGTGTGGCGGCGGTTACGACGGCAGGAAACGGGTGGGGCGACGGGTCGCTCGTGCGCGCGGCTGCTGCTGTGCGTACGTGCGACTAACAACGGGGCCGCGGGGCCCGTTGACGAAGGGGCCTCGGGGACCACGGACGAAAGGACGTTAACGAAGGGCCGCGGGGCCCGCTAACAAAAGGCTGCGGGGCCCGTTAACTAACAGCGTCGACGGGTGACGGGCGACGGGAAAAAAAATAAAAATAAAAAGCGGTCGCGATCGATGGGGGGAAACGGGCGACGGGCGACGGGCGACAGGGGGGGGGGTCTACGGGCGACGCGGCCTAGGGTAAGCGCGCTACGCGCGGTCTAGGACGGGGCGCGACTAGGTGGGCCCATAACTTAGTCGAGTGATTTTTCCTAAGGGGAAAATCTCGCTAGGGTTAACCTAGCTCTATACCATATCACAATGTAAAATGTTAACTATGAAATGAAGGTACAAACAAGTTATAGCAAACCCTAGCAACAGTTCTAGCACAAGACAGAGAATGTACAACACCTAGACTAAAACTATATAAACTATATAGAAATATAGTTTGACACCCCTCCCCCCACAGGGTCCTGCTCCCTCAAGTGTGTCTCAGGTAAACCCACCCCCCTTGGTTGAGCCTTTGGAGGTCTCTTCTGACTCTTCTGGCCCAGCTGAGGGGGGTGACCCCGCCGATGACGACACGGCGGCCACTCACCGCTCTCCACGCTTGGAGACCCCCCCTGGTTTTCTGCCTCGGCCGTCTTCGCCGCCTCCGCAGCCTGCTGGTGTGGACTCTGGAGCTGAGACTGCTGGTGCTGAGCCTAGGGGTGCTGAGACAGAGGGTGAGGGTTCTGGGGGTGCTGCGACTGGGGGTGCTGGTTCTAGGGGTGCTGCGATAGGGGGTGCTGGTTCTTGGGGTGCTGCGACTGGGGGTGCTGACTCTGGGGGTCCGGCGAGTCCTAGTGACGGTGGAGCTGTGGGTGACCCTGTTGGATGTCCTAGAGCTGGACAGCCACCGCTGGCTGACCCACTTGAGACACTCTCGTCGCAGGCGATTCGTGCGTGGATCATTCGGCGAGGCAGTCCTGGTGGTGGAGGATACGGTCCTGCTGGTGCTGGAGCTACTAGTCCTGGAGGTACTGCTGGTGCTGGAGGTACTGGAGGTACTGTTGGAGGTGCTGGAGGTGTTGCTGGTGCTGGAGGTGCTGGAGGTGTTGCTGGTGCTGGAGGTACTAGAGGTGCTGCTAGTGCTGGAGGTGCCGGAGCTACTAGTCCTAGAGGTGCTACTGGTGCTGGAGGTGCTGGACCTACTAGTCGTGGAGGTACAGCTGGTGCTGGAGGTGCTGGAGGTGCTGCTGGTGCTAGAGGCGCTGGAGCTGGAGGTACTGGAGGTGCTGGAGCTGCTGGTTCTGGTGGTGTTGTTCGTGCTGGAGGTGCTACTGGAGCTGCTGGCAGTGGAGGTACTGGAGGTACTGCTAGTGCTGGAGGTGCTGGAGCTGCCAGAGCAAGTGCTACTGCTGGTGCTAGAGGTGCTGGAGGTGCTCCTGGAGCTGCTGGCACTGGAGGTGCTGGAGGTACTGCTGGTGCTGGAGGCACTGGAGCTGGAGGTACTGGAGGTACTGGAGGTGCTCGTACTAGAGGTACTAGAGCTGCCGGAGCAGGTGGTGCTGCTGGTGCTGGAGGTGCTACTGGAGCTATCGGCACTGGAGGTGCTGGAGGTACTACTGGTGCTAGAGGTCCCGGCGCTGCCGGAGCTAGTGGTGCTGCTGGTGCTAGAGGTGCTGGAGGTGTTGCTGGAGCTGCTAGAGCTGCTGGTGCTGGAGGTGCTGGTGCTGCTGGTGCTGGAGGAGCTGGAGCTGCTGGTACTGCCCTGTGCAGACCATTTTTCTACCCGCAGCCGCAGTCGTCCCTTCCGCCGCCTGACTTGGTCTTTCGCCAGGTTCTTAGTCTCTCGTCTTCCACTGGCCTCCCTCTACCCCTCCTGTGTCCACCGACAGACCAGTATCAGCCACAGCTACTGCTTGGCTCCCCGCTGCCTGCGCCTGCTCCTCACACTGAGGTGACTGAGTCCCTGACTGAGCGTCGTGAGCCTGAGACTCGTGCTTCCACACATGTTCGTGCTCGTCGTGTCGCCCGTCCTTGTCCTCCTGCTATCCCAGGCACTCACGGTATGGCACTTCGTCCTTCCTCTGTTCCACAGCGTGTTGTCCTGCCTGAGCCTCCCGCGTCCTCTCTTCCGCACGTTCCTGACCCTGAGTCCGACCATCCTCGTTCTGCCAGTCCTATTGTCACTCGTCTCTTTGCTAATGTTGTCACTGACCCTGACCTTGAGTCTACTGCAGCGTTTGCCCTAGTCACTGAGCTAGTCGACTTTGCAGGTAGGAGTCGACTCGACTACGTCGCGAGTCTTGTTACGGAGTCTGAGTTTGTCTGTCCTCCGTCCGTCGGGGGTGAGCCTGCCTTTAGCAGTGACGTCGTTGAGGAAAGACAGTTTGAGCTTGAGTGTCTTGCGGCCATTTTACCTCGCTTCGCATCCATGCTGCTTTGCCCTGAGGGAGACCCGGATGCACTTGACATCCCTACCCCGCGCTCTTACGCTGAGGCGATCGCGGGTGAGTACTCCTCTCAAAGGCAGACAGCCATGGACACAGAGATGGCTTTGTAGAAGTCCACAGGCACCTACGTCGACGAGGTTCCTCCTCTTGGGGCGAACATAGTCGATGGCATGTGGATTTTCAGAGTGAAGCGGCCACCGGGTTCTCCGCCTGCCTTCAAGGCGCGTTACGTTGCTCGAGGCTTCAGTCAGCAATAGGGGGTCGATTTCTTCCAGACCTTCTCCCCCACCCCGAAGATGACTACTCTTCAGGTGCTGCTGCACGTTGCGGCACAGCGTGACTACGAGCTGCACTCCCTCGACTTCTCCACAGCTTTCCTACAGGGCAGCCTTCACGAGGAGATCTGGATGCGCCGCCCACCCGGCTTCACTGGGTCGTTTTCTGCGGGTACCCAGTGGAGCCTCCGGCGGCCAGTCTACGGTCTCCGCCAGGCACCCCGAGAGTGGCACGACACACTGAGACTTGCGGCTCTTGGGTTTGCTCCTTCCTCTGCTGACCTGTCGCTGTTTCTACGCACCGACACTACCCTGCCGCCGTTCTACGTTCTAGTGTACGTCGACGACTTGGTTTTTGCCACTACTGTCAGTGAGGCGCTGGCCGTAATGAAGGCGGAGCTGCAGGAGAGACACACGTGCACTGACCTGGGTGAGTTGCGTAGCTATCTTGGCTTGCAGATCACCCGGGACAGAGCACGGCGCACCATCACACTGACTCAGTCACACATGGTGCACCAGGTCCTTCAGCGCTTCGGCTTCCAGTTCTCCTCGCCACAGCCCACTCCTCTGTCTTCCGGCCACTCGCTCTCAGCTCCACCTTCGGACGAGTCCGTAGAGCCGAGTGGTCCATACCTAGAGCTTGTGGGTTGCCTCATATACCTGATGACATGCACACGACCTGACCTCGCGTACCCTCTCAGCCTCCTGGCTCGCTACGTGGCTCCCGGTAGACACCGAAAGGTGCACTGGGATGCTGCGAAGAGGGTACTGCGTTACTTGTGCAGTACATTGGGCATGGGGCTAGTGCTTGGAGGACAGGGTTCAGTGGTACTCACAGGACACTCTGACGCTTCTTGGGCCGACGACCAGGCGACTCAGCATTCGTCACAGGGTTACACCTTCGGTCTTGGCTCTGGTTCTGTCTCGTGGAGGTCCACTCGTTCTTCTTCTGTGCTTAGTTCTAGCTGTGAGGCCGAGATCTACGCTGGGGCCATGGCTGCACAGGAGCTACGCTGGCTGACCTACCTGCTGACCGACTTGGGGGAGCGGCCTCGTTCTCCTCCAGTTCTGTATGTCGAAAACAAGGCAATGCTTGCCTTGTGTCACAAGCATAGACTGGAGCACAGAACGAAGCACATTGCTCTTTGCTACTTCCTTGCGCGTGAGCTGCAGCAGCGTCGTCAGCTCCGCCTTTCCTACGTGGCCTCGCGGGCCAACACTGCTGATGTGTTCACCAAGGCCCTTGGGTCTGGTGATCATCAACGTTTCTGCACTACTCTTGGACTTGTGCCCACTCTGCCTCACCTGCTGGTTGCTTGACTTGCTCTTGTTGTACACTGATATATATCTTTATACCTGATTTTTTACTCTTGCTATGTTGTGATCAATGTACTGCCTTGCTATTATAACTCTGCATTTGAACTGGCCTTGTGGCCACTTTCTTGTGCTCAGATTGTGTGGTGTCCTTCAGATCCACCCTGAGCTTTGCTTTGCTTTGTTCTCTTGCCTGACTGGTCTTGTGACCGTTGGTTGTGCGGTAGCCTCTACTGAGTACAACACTTTAGGTCAAACCTAGTACTTGTACTCATCCTTGCTTGCTAGTCAATCATTCCTGCACAGTTATTCTGACAGTCTGTACAGCACATCAAGGAGACTGGACGACTGAAACGCATGCACTTCCACTAATACACACAGTACCAGCAGCACTCTCCAAGCCCTATTTGCTTGCATCCTTCAACGTTGTGAGTGCATGCACTATGCCCTCCCCAACGCGGCCTGCCAGCCCACCCTCCTCTGTGAGCTGCCTCACTGCCGCCTTCTGCTTCTCCCTCCCCTCCTCCATCTGCTCGTCCATGCGCTGAATGCCTGCTGGGGGATAGAGGGCAATGAGGGTCCATGCGGTCAACGGCTGGAAGGACGGAGCAGTGGGAGACATGAAGAGCGCAGAGGGTGTCAATGCGGTGAATAGCTGAATGGTCAGGGCCGAGGAGTATAGACGAGCAAACAGGCTCGATCTGACAAAGGCTGGAAAGGCGGGTTGGGGTCAGGCTTGGCAGGGAGCTTGGGAAGGGCTAGTTTGATGTAGTCTGTTGGTGTTTCACAGGCCAAGCAACAGGACCATGGTACTTGACGTCACAGCTCACACAATAGAAAGCATCTCTTTTGTAAGGTAGACCATATGTCAGATGCGAATGGCCTCACATGCATGCGCATGTGCATGGTGCAGGGGCAGGCGCACAAGATTTCCTTCACCCCTCATTATAGTCACCTCACTCACCTCGCTTCACATGCACATGCGCATGGTGCAGCGGCATGCGAACAAACACCTCCCCTCTGCCCATCGCCACCCACACTCGCTCCTTCTGCCCCACCGCCCCACACACAGCACACTCCGAACCCCCAACCGAATCTGACATGCCGCATGGCACTGCAGGCAAGGGGATTACAAGTGGCCTGTGTGACTCTGCAGATACACCTTCCCCAGCAGCACCTCCTCCAGAGCCCCCCTCCCTGCGTGCCCCTGCTCTCCTGGCAGCCGCCCCCCTGGCATGCTTCTTGAGCGCCGTGATGGCCTCCCTGCCCGCATTGCGCTGCCGATCCAAATCCACTAGCTGGGGGGGAGGGATGGGAGGGGATGGAAATGAGAATAAGGGGATAAGTGGGGGGCAGGGGGGGAGAAGAGGGCCAGCACAGCGCTGTAACAGCCTCCCTACCCGCATTGCGCTGGCGATCCAAATCCACTAGCTGAGAGGAAGGGAAGGAGAGAGCGGATACAATAAGCGAAGGGCAGAGGGTGGAGGCAAAGTTGCTGCGCAGAGCGTGACTGCCTCCGTGCCTGCATTGCGCTTTGCACCGGCGATCCAGACGCACTACCTGGGATGGGATGGGATGGGATGGGATGGGATGGGATGGGATGGGATGGGATGGGATGGGATGGGATGGGATGGGATGGGATAGGATGGGATGGGATGGGATGGGATGGGATGGGATGGGATGGGATGGGATGGGATGGGATGGGATGGGATGGGGTGGGGTGGGATGGGATGGGATGGGGTGGGATGGGATGGGATGGGGGGGGAGAGGAGGGAGGAAGAGAGGGGATAGGATGAGTGAAGCTTGAGAGGGTTTGCCTGTGCAGAGCTGTGACGGCCTGCCTGCCTGCGCTGCGCGCATTGCGCTGGCGATCCAGATCTACTAGGTGGGAGAGGGGGACGGGGAGGGAGAACGAGCATGAGGGGAGGGATGCGGGGCAGCAGAGAACGAGAGGGGTAGTGGCGTGGATGGAGAGGAGTAAGTGGGAGGGGTGATGTAATGAGTTCCCTTCTGCATGCCCTGCCTGCCTTGAAGCGCTAGATGGGGATGGGACGGGGCATTGGACACGAGGGGATGAGATGAGTGAATGGACGAGGGGGAGAGCGAGAGGGTTGGTCAGCATGCCAGTAAGGCAGTGTGCTGCCTACCTGTGCGTATCCACCAGACGGGGATGAGAGGGGCGAGTGTGAATGGTAAATGGATGGGCGGCAAGCGGGGAGAGGGGGGCGGCGCGGTGGATGTGAGAGGTGAAGGGGAGGGGTTGGACGTGAGAGAGGACTGAGGATAAATGGGATGTGATGCGATGCGGTGAGATGTGGTGCAATGGGGTGCAATTTGGTGCGATATGATGCGATGTGATGTGCGGTGCCATACACGGTACTACGACGCAATGTGTGCAATGTGGTGTGGTGGGATGGGGTGCAATACGGTACTCTGTGGAGTAACCCGATGCGACATGGTGCGGTACAACGGTTTGAGATGCGGTGTGGATCCTCCTTACCAGCAAGGGGAACGACAGCAGAGGCACAGCATCTCTGATGTGCAACCCCGGGAGAGGTGAACGTCCCACCCAAAAGCAGTGAATCTCCCTCGCTTACCTCCTGCTTCACCAGCAGCACCTCTTCCGCCTTGGCCTCAGCTGACCTCAGCCGCTGCTGCAGCTGCACCATGCCCTCCTCCATGCCTCCCACCCCAACCCCCGCGTACTCCATCCCCCCTTGCTGCTCCGGGCCGAAGCGGAAACGCGAGAAAGTATACTAACGAGCGTGTGAGCAGGATTGGATGTGCTGATCCAATCACATGCGGCCTCCTTCCTCACAATCGCCCACACACACCCATCTCCCCTCGCCCCACTCTCCGCCCTCTCCCCCCTCTCGTCGCCCTTCCCAACGTCCGTCTGCCCGTCTCTCGCAATCGGCTGCTGCTCTCCACCCGTCGCACGCCCCTTGCCCCTCTCCGACCAGTTTATTTCCTCCGCGATTCACGCCTCGTACCGTTTCTATCGTGCTCCCATCCTCATCGTGTGACCCTTTTCGTTTCTCTCAAGCGTTGCATGCTAAAAGCGGGAATGCGACGGGGTTGGTGCGATCGAGTGAGAGGAGCACGTGGGGGGGAAGGTGGGATGAATCGGGGAGCGCGGGGTAGATGCTGAGGACGACGGTGGGGGAGAGCGGTTATCGGCGATCGGCGACTGTCGCGCGACGAGCAGCAAGCAATAGGCGTGCGACAAACACGACCTCAGTGACGAGACAGAGGAGGTAAAAACGAGGTTTTGGGCGCACGAAATGTTCCACATAGGTTCGAGTTCTGCGATAGTCGACTGTGCCAACTAGCCTTGGTAATTTCCCCCTTGCGAAACAGAAGTCGAGATTCAAACCGGCAGATAGCAATTCACACGAATTCAGCCAGAACTCGCCAATTTCGCCCTCCCTCGGGAGCCCCCACCGAAGGCCCTTACGGTGAAAGAGGAGTGCAACGCCATCCCCGGCTCAGCTACACCGAAGCTATCATCCCGAAGCCTAAACGGACACCTAGACATTCAGAGACAACGCGCGTCGATGCATTCAATGAAAGGGTTTTTATATCACTGAAGGCACATGCTGCGCATCGATATCTCCTCTCGCTCCGCGTGCTTAGCTATCCTCGCGTCACTCACTGCTCTCCCGCGCCGCTCTCAACGGTCCCGCGTGTCGCGCCCTTCCGTCGCGCCACCGCGCTGCCACGCGCGCACTGCCAGCACGTAGCCCGCTCTATCCTCCTCCGGTGCAGTTCCGACGTACTTCTTTCCCCGCGTCGCGCACCCATCCACGTCACCAATAGTGTTCTTGGCGGCTCGAAAGCAGACGGCCTCCTTAAACGGCCAGATGGACGAGTCTGACGTGTCATGGGAGGAGTTTTTCGCCACGTCACCACCTCCTCTCGCAGACGCTGACGTCATCAAGGAACAGCTGTCGGCTTTCATTGTACGTCAAGTGGTCATCATGAGCATCATGAACCTCATGAGCTGCCTGCCATCCCCATGCCGCCTGCCATGCCCATGCCGCCTGCCATCCCCATGCCGCCTGCCATGCCCCCACTTCTGTTACTGTGCCTCGCTTTCTTCTCTGCGCCCCCCAATGTGACTGGGCAGCACTCACCCATCCACCAAGGCACTCACCACTCCCACGTCCCCGCACGCATCCCTCCCTGCCCCCCACCATCACGCTTTCTTCCCCCTCTGCACGCACCTCTCAGCCGCGTCCACCCACGCTCGTCCCTGCTGCCATCGAGCACCACCACAGTGCTGCTCGGACCATCCACTCTCCCTGTCCCCTTATTTCTGCTCTTTCCTTCATCTTCCCGCGTCTCCCTCCATCTCCCCTTCTCCAATCGCATTCCCTCTACAGCGCCCAGGCGGCACCAGCACTTGAGCCGCCTGGGCGCCGCTCGCTGGTGGCGGGTGTGACGTCAGGCGGCACGAAGGTGCGGGCCGAAAGAGACACCCACACTCCATGCCTTGTTCCTTTTGCTCTTTTAGTTTTGAGACGTCTCAAAGCCGAAAGAGACATCCACATTCCATGCCTTGTTCCTTTTGCTCTTTTATCCCCCCTTTCTTCCCCTTTGCAGCGAGCCTCGCAGCAGCCCGGTGGTGCCCCCCTCCCCTGGTAACATCGGGCGGCACCACAGTGCCTCTGGACCGCCGCTGTGTGCCTCTGGAGCGCCGCTGTGTGCGCTTCATTGACAACTTCACCCGCCCCATTGCCCCTCTCTCCCCTCCCCCCCTTTTGTTCTTTGCAGCATGCGTCACAGCAGCCCGGGGGTGCACCACTGGTAACATGTGTGACGTCAGGCGGCACAACAGTACCCTTGGAGCGGCGCTGTGTGCGCTTCATTGACAACTTCAGCGCCGGCAACCGCGGGGCCGCCTCCTGCGAGTGAGAACTGGGGCGTAGGGCCTTCGTACCCACCCGTCCCCCCACCCCCCTTCCTTCCTCCGCCTTTCCTCTGCTGCATGCTGCTCGGTGAGCTGACAGCTTCAGCACTGCCAACTGAGGAGCCGCCTCCTGCAAGTGAGAAGGAGCTACTCTGTAGGCCTTATATTATCACCGCCCGGCACCCCGTGCGAGTGAGTGGGTTGAGGAAACCAAGGGGCTGCGTCATGCGAGTCAGAACTAGGGCCTCGGGCTCTAAAACCGGTCCCCTCCTTCCCATTGGCTCCTTCCCTTTCCTGTGCTGCTTGCTTCCTGCTTGGAATACTGACGACTTCAACGCCGGCAACTAAATGGTTGCCTCCTGCGAGAGAGAGTTGGGGTCTTGCACGCCTTTCTTGCACGCCAGTCTTGCACGCCAGTCTTGCACGCCAGTCCCTCCCTCCCTCCCTCCCTCCCTGCCTCCCCTCATGCTTCCTCCGAATCTCGCTATGCTCCGTTCCTCACACCATCCACTCCGTGCTTGGCTCTGACGCAGTTTTCTGCTCCTTTTCCGGTCCACCTCCCCTCCCACACGGACATCTTTCGTCTTCTCGTCGCTCCATTCTTCCCGACTGCTCATGTAGGCACTTCCTCGCGCACGGCTACTCCGTCATCTTCCTCCACCGGCGGTACGCTCGTCATTCTTGTGCTCTGTGTTTGTGTCTGTGTGGGTGGGTGCTGTGTGTGTGTGTGTGTGTGTGTGTGTGTCTGTGTGTATGTGTGCGCGCGTGCACGCTCACTGTGTGTGCTGTCTATGTGTGTATGCGTGCCTGCTGCTTGCACATCACACGTAAAGGTTCACCGTCGCCACCATGCTCTCTTGTCTGCTTCTCTGCTTGCTCCGCTGCACTGCATGCCTGCACTGCATGCCTGCACTCACTCAATCATTTCGCAACACTTGCACACTGCACACTGCACACTGCACACTGCACACTGCATTGTCGGAGAGTGCAGCCATTCTCCACATGCAGTCGTGTATCTCTCTCTCTATCATCTCTCTTCCACCCCCCACTCCTGACTCCTCCGCATCTGTACGCCAGTGGCTCCATGCGTCCCTTCTGTCGCGGACTGCCAGAGTCGCCTCTCCTCACGTGCCTGCGAGCCTCGCCCTCTGCTGCCGTGCCCTGCACGGAGAAAGCAAGTGTTGCTGCAGACCGCCAGCAGCAGGGGAGGCAAGGCGCTGCCTGTGCGGAGGAGAGGGTGAGCGGGGCTGCAGGCGGCAGTGGGGAGGCGAGCGGCAGTGGCGCACACAGCAGCATCAGCAGCGGCTCTGCTGACTGCCAGGCGGCGGGGTGCCATGCTATGTCATTGCCGCCAGTTTGAAACCACTTGCAGGGATTAATTCCTTTCATCCGCAGATCCCTCCTCCGGTGCTATTCATTCAATCTTTCCCCCATTGACCCCATTTTTCGAATGCTTCTGACCTTTCTTCCTCCCGTCACAACTCTGCCTCTCACCACCCCTTGACCACCCCTTGATCACCCCTTGGCCCTGTCTCCTCCCCACCCATCCGCACCCCCCCGCGGTTGCCTCTTCTTCGCCTGCCACGCATTCATCCCTTCGCCCCTTAATCCCTCTTTCTCACCCGTCCCAACACCCCTCTCATCCCCTCCCGTCCACCTTCCCCCTCGGGGAGTGGCAGCCATTCCACCGTACACGGATGCGGTGCATCGAGCTGTGCTCATGTTCAACCAGGTGCGCCGCCACCCACTCCGCACCGCACCTGCCTTGTGCGCACCAGCGTGCATGCATTCCTTGCGCACAGCACACGGCTTGCAAGCGCATAGCATCTCCCCCATGGCCTGGCCTGTGCGTTGACCTCAGCCGTCTTGACTGTCAAGTTCCGCAGAGACTTGTCGAACCGTGCTCGTGTGTCGCTCTTGCATCGCGTCACTCTTTTTCTCGTCTCCTGCACCCCCTCGGCCTGCACACTTGAGCCAGCTGGTACTCTGCTCGTCCCATTCTTCTTAACCCGTCATCTCTGTGAACCGCACACCACCGCTCAACTCCATGCAGGCACAGGAGGGAGGGCGGTTGCTGCTGCTGCCATTCACCACGCTCTTCCAGTACCTCCAGGTGACCCTTCTGTTAGGATAGTAGTGACCATCACCACAGCCTCCACCGAACGAAGTAGTGTCCTTTCCCACGGATACTCCTGGGGATTTCAATTCCACAGGCTAATAAATGAGGGAGATATCACCTTTCCCCACGAGGGATTGCCAGCGATTATAGCTGATGCTCATTTGAGTGTGGCATGTAAAAGATCCTAGGGCTAGGGCTAGGGCTAGGGCTAGGGCTAGGGCTAGGGCTAGGGCTAGGGCTAGGGCTAGGGCTAGGGCTAGGGCTAGGGCTAGGGCTAGGGCTAGGGCTAGGGCTAGGGCTAGGGCTAGGGCTAGGGCTAGGGCTAGGGCTAGGGCTAGGGCTAGGGCTAGGGCTAGGGCTAGGGCTAGGGCTAGGGCTAGGGCTAGGGCTAGGGCTAGGGCTAGGGCTAGGGCTAGGGCTAGGGCTAGGGCTAGGGCTAGGGCTAGGGCTAGGGCTAGGGGCTAGGGCTAGGGCTAGGGCTAGGGCTAGGGCTAGGGCTAGGGCTAGGCTAGGGCTAGGGCTAGGGCTAGGGCTAGGGCCTAGGGCTAGGGCTAGGGCTAGGGCTAGGCTAGGGATAGGGCTAGGGCTAGGGCTAGGCTATGGCTAGGCCTAGGGCTAGGGCTAGGGCTAGGGCTAGGGCTAGGGCTAGGGCTAGGGCTAGGCTAGGGCTAGGGCTAGGGCTAGGGCTAGGGCTAGGGCTAGGGCTAGGGCTAGGGCTAGGGCTAGGGCTAGGGCTAGGGCTAGGGCTAGGGCTAGGGCTAGGGCTAGGGGCTAGGGCTAGGGCTAGGGCTAGGGCTAGGGCTAGGGCTAGGGCTAGGGCTTAGGGCTAGGGCTAGGGCATAGGGCTAGGGCTAGGGCTATGCTAGGGCTAGGGCTAGAGGGCTAGGGCTAGGGCTGAGGGCTAGGGCTAGGCTAGGGCTAGGGCTAGGGCTATTGCTAGGCTAGGGCTAGGGCTAGGGCTAGGGCTAGGCTAGGGCTAGGGCTAGGGCTAGGGCTAGGGCTAGGGCTAGGGCTAGGGCTAGGGCTAGGGCTAGGGCTAGGGCTAGGGCTAGGGCTAGGGCTAGGGCTAGGGCTAGGGCTAGGGCTAGGGCTAGGGCTAGGGCTAGGGGCTAGGGCTAGGGCTAGGGCTAGGGCTAGGGCTAGGGCTAGGGCTAGGGCTAGGGCTAGGGCTAGGGCTAGGGCTAGGGCTAGGGCTAGGCTAGGGCTAGGGCTAGGGCTAGGGCTAGGGCTAGGGCTAGGGCTAGGGCTAGGGCTAGGGCTAGGGCTAGGGCTAGGGCTAGGGCTAGGGCTAGGCTAGGGCTAGGGCTAGGGCTAGGGCTAGGGCTAGGGTAGGGCTAGGGCTAGGGGCTAGGCTAGGGCTAGGGCTAGGGCTAGGGCTAGGGCTAGGGCTAGGGCTAGGGCTAGGGCTAGGGCTTAGGGCTAGGGCTAGGGCTAGGGCTAGGGCTAGGGCTAGGGCTAGGGCTAGGGCTAGGGCTAGGGCTAGGGCTAGGGCTAGGGCTAGGGCTAGGGCTAGGGCTAGGGCTAGGGCTAGGGCTAGGGCTAGGGCTAGGGCTAGGGCTAGGGCTAGGGCTAGGGCTAGGGCTAGGGCTAGGGCTAGGGCTAGGGCTAGGGCTAGGGCTAGGGCTAGGGCTAGGGCTAGGGCTAGGGCTAGGGCTAGGGCTAGGGCTAGGGCTAGGGCTAGGGCTAGGGCTAGGGCTAGGGCTAGGGCTAGGGCTAGGGCTAGGGCTAGGGCTAGGGCTAGGGCTAGGGCTAGGGCTAGGGCTAGGGCTAGGGCTAGGGCTAGGGCTAGGGCTAGGGCTAGGGCTAGGGCTAGGGCTAGGGCTAGGGCTAGGGCTAGGGCTAGGGCTAGGGCTAGGGCTAGGGCTAGGGCTAGGGCTAGGGCTAGGGCTAGGGCTAGGGCTAGGGCTAGGGCTAGGGCTAGGGCTAGGGCTAGGGCTAGGGCTAGGGCTAGGGCTAGGGCTAGGGCTAGGGCTAGGGCTAGGGCTAGGGCTAGGGCTAGGGCTAGGGCTAGGGCTAGGGCTAGGGCTAGGGCTAGGGCTAGGGCTAGGGCTAGGGCTAGGGCTAGGGCTAGGGCTAGGGCTAGGGCTAGGGCTAGGGCTAGGGCTAGGGCTAGGGCTAGGGCTAGGGCTAGGGCTAGGGCTAGGGCTAGGGCTAGGGCTAGGGCTAGGGCTAGGGCTAGGGCTAGGGCTAGGGCTAGGGCTAGGGCTAGGGCTAGGGCTAGGGCTAGGGCTAGGGCTAGGGCTAGGGCTAGGGCTAGGGCTAGGGCTAGGGCTAGGGCTAGGGCTAGGGCTAGGGCTAGGGCTAGGGCTAGGGCTAGGGCTAGGGCTAGGGCTAGGGCTAGGGCTAGGGCTAGGGCTAGGGCTAGGGCTAGGGCTAGGGCTAGGGCTAGGGCTAGGGCTAGGGCTAGGGCTAGGGCTAGGGCTAGGGCTAGGGCTAGGGCTAGGGCTAGGGCTAGGGCTAGGGCTAGGGCTAGGGCTAGGGCTAGGGCTAGGGCTAGGGCTAGGGCTAGGGCTAGGGCTAGGGCTAGGGCTAGGGCTAGGGCTAGGGCTAGGGCTAGGGCTAGGGCTAGGGCTAGGGCTAGGGCTAGGGCTAGGGCTAGGGCTAGGGCTAGGGCTAGGGCTAGGGCTAGGGCTAGGGCTAGGGCTAGGGCTAGGGCTAGGGCTAGGGCTAGGGCTAGGGCTAGGGCTAGGGCTAGGGCTAGGGCTAGGGCTAGGGCTAGGGCTAGGGCTAGGGCTAGGGCTAGGGCTAGGGCTAGGGCTAGGGCTAGGGCTAGGGCTAGGGCTAGGGCTAGGGCTAGGGCTAGGGCTAGGGCTAGGGCTAGGGCTAGGGCTAGGGCTAGGGCTAGGGCTAGGGCTAGGGCTAGGGCTAGGGCTAGGGCTAGGGCTAGGGCTAGGGCTAGGGCTAGGGCTAGGGCTAGGGCTAGGGCTAGGGCTAGGGCTAGGGCTAGGGCTAGGGCTAGGGCTAGGGCTAGGGCTAGGGCTAGGGCTAGGGCTAGGGCTAGGGCTAGGGCTAGGGCTAGGGCTAGGGCTAGGGCTAGGGCTAGGGCTAGGGCTAGGGCTAGGGCTAGGGCTAGGGCTAGGGCTAGGGCTAGGGCTAGGGCTAGGGCTAGGGCTAGGGCTAGGGCTAGGGCTAGGGCTAGGGCTAGGGCTAGGGCTAGGGCTAGGGCTAGGGCTAGGGCTAGGGCTAGGGCTAGGGCTAGGGCTAGGGCTAGGGCTAGGGCTAGGGCTAGGGCTAGGGCTAGGGCTAGGGCTAGGGCTAGGGCTAGGGCTAGGGCTAGGGCTAGGGCTAGGGCTAGGGCTAGGGCTAGGGCTAGGGCTAGGGCTAGGGCTAGGGCTAGGGCTAGGGCTAGGGCTAGGGCTAGGGCTAGGGCTAGGGCTAGGGCTAGGGCTAGGGCTAGGGCTAGGGCTAGGGCTAGGGCTAGGGCTAGGGCTAGGGCTAGGGCTAGGGCTAGGGCTAGGGCTAGGGCTAGGGCTAGGGCTAGGGCTAGGGCTAGGGCTAGGGCTAGGGCTAGGGCTAGGGCTAGGGCTAGGGCTAGGGCTAGGGCTAGGGCTAGGGCTAGGGCTAGGGCTAGGGCTAGGGCTAGGGCTAGGGCTAGGGCTAGGGCTAGGGCTAGGGCTAGGGCTAGGGCTAGGGCTAGGGCTAGGGCTAGGGCTAGGGCTAGGGCTAGGGCTAGGGCTAGGGCTAGGGCTAGGGCTAGGGCTAGGGCTAGGGCTAGGGCTAGGGCTAGGGCTAGGGCTAGGGCTAGGGCTAGGGCTAGGGCTAGGGCTAGGGCTAGGGCTAGGGCTAGGGCTAGGGCTAGGGCTAGGGCTAGGGCTAGGGCTAGGGCTAGGGCTAGGGCTAGGGCTAGGGCTAGGGCTAGGGCTAGGGCTAGGGCTAGGGCTAGGGCTAGGGCTAGGGCTAGGGCTAGGGCTAGGGCTAGGGCTAGGGCTAGGGCTAGGGCTAGGGCTAGGGCTAGGGCTAGGGCTAGGGCTAGGGCTAGGGCTAGGGCTAGGGCTAGGGCTAGGGCTAGGGCTAGGGCTAGGGCTAGGGCTAGGGCTAGGGCTAGGGCTAGGGCTAGGGCTAGGGCTAGGGCTAGGGCTAGGGCTAGGGCTAGGGCTCAGGGCTAGGGCTAGGGCTGGCTAGGGCTAGGGCTAGGGCTTAGGCTAGGCTAGGGCTGGGCTAGGGCTAGGGCTAGGCTCAGGGCTAGGGCTAGGGCTAGGGCTAGGGCTTAGGGCTAGGGCTAGGCTAGGGCTAGGGCTGGCTAGGGCTAGGGCTAGGGGCTAGGGCTAGGGCTAGGGCCTAGGGCTAGGGCTAAGGCTAGGGCTAGGGCTAGGGCTAGGGCTAGGGCTAGGGCTAGGGTAGGGCTAGGGCTAGGGCTAGGGAGGGCTAGGGCTAGGGTCTAGGGCTAGGGCTAGGGCTAGGGGCTAGGCTAGGGGGCCTAGGGGCTAGGGCTAGGGCTAGGGCCTAGGGCTAGGGCTAGGGCTATGGGCTAGGGCTAGGGCTAGGGCTAGGGGGCTAGGGCTAGGGCTAGGGCTAGGGCCTAGGGGCTAGGGCTAGGCTAGGGCTAGGGCTAGGGCTAGGGCTAGGGCTAGGTAGGCTTAGGGGCTAGGGCTAGGGCTAGGGCTAGGGCTAGGGCTAGGGCTAGGGCTAGGGCTAGGGCTAGGGCTAGGGCTAGGGCTAGGGCTAGGGCTAGGGCTAGGGCTAGGGCTAGGGCTAGGGCTAGGGCTAGGGCTAGGGCTAGGCTAGGGCTAGGGCTAGGGCTAGGGCTAGGGCTAGGGCTAGGGCTAGGGCTAGGGCCTAGGGCTAGGGCTAGGGCTAGGGCTAGGGCTAGGGCTAGGGCTAGGGCTAGGGCTAGGGCTAGGGCTAGGGCTAGGGCTAGGGCTAGGCTAGGGCTAGGGCTAGGGCTAGGGCTAGGGCTAGGGCTAGGGCTAGGGCTAGGGCTAGGGCTAGGCTAGGGCTAGGGCTAGGGCTAGGGCTAGGGCTAGGGCTAGGGCTAGGGCTAGGGCTAGGGCTAGGGCTAGGGCTAGGGCTAGGGCTAGGGCTAGGGCTAGGGCTAGGGCCTAGGGCTAGGGCTAGGGCTAGGGCTAGGGCTAGGGCTAGGGCTAGGGCTAGGGCTAGGGCTAGGGCTAGGGCTAGGGCTAGGGCTAGGGCTAGGGCTAGGGCTAGGGCTAGCGGGCTAGGGCTAGGGCTAGGGCTAGGGCTAGGGCTAGGGCTAGGGCTAGGGCTAGGGCTAGGGCTAGGGCTAGGCTAGGGCTAGGGCTAGGGCTAGGGCTAGGGCTGGCTAGGGCTAGGGCTAGGGCTAGGGCTAGGGCTAGGGCTAGGGCCTAGGGCTAGGGCTAGGGCTAGGGCTAGGGCTAGGCTAGGGCTAGGGCTAGGGGCTAGGGCTAGGGCTAGGGCTAGGCTAGGGCTAGGGCTAGGGCTAGGGCTAGGGCTAAGGGCTAGGCTAGGGCTAGGGCTAGGGCTAGGGCTAGGGCTAGGGCTAGGGCCTAGGGCTAGGGCTAGGGCTAGGGCTAGGGCTAGGGCTAGGGCTAGGGCTAGGGCGTAGGGCTAGGGCTAGGGCTAGGGCTAGGGCTAGGGCTAGGGCTAGGGCTAGGGCTAGGGCTAGGGCTAGGGCTAGGGCTAGGGCTAGGGCTAGGGCTAGGGCTAGGGCTAGGGCTAGGGCTAGGGCTAGGGCTAGGGCTAGGGCTAGGGCTAGGGCTAGGGCTAGGGCTAGGGCTAGGGCTAGGGCTAGGGCTAGGGCTAGGGCTAGGGCTAGGGCTAGGGCTAGGGCTAGGGCTAGGGCTAGGGCTAGGGCTAGGGCTAGGGCTAGGGCTAGGGCTAGGGCTAGGGCTAGGGCTAGGGCTAGGGCTAGGGCTAGGGCTAGGGCTAGGGCTAGGGCTAGGGCTAGGGCTAGGGCTAGGGCTAGGGCTAGGGCTAGGGCTAGGGCTAGGGCTAGGGCTAGGGCTAGGGCTAGGGCTAGGGCTAGGGCTAGGGCTAGGGCTAGGGCTAGGGCTAGGGCTAGGGCTAGGGCTAGGGCTAGGGCTAGGGCTAGGGCTAGGGCTAGGGCTAGGGCTAGGGCTAGGGCTAGGGCTAGGGCTAGGGCTAGGGCTAGGGCTAGGGCTAGGGCTAGGGCTAGGGCTAGGGCTAGGGCTAGGGCTAGGGCTAGGGCTAGGGCTAGGGCTAGGGCTAGGGCTAGGGCTAGGGCTAGGGCTAGGGCTAGGGCTAGGGCTAGGGCTAGGGCTAGGGCTAGGGCTAGGGCTAGGGCTAGGGCTAGGGCTAGGGCTAGGGCTAGGGCTAGGGCTAGGGCTAGGGCTAGGGCTAGGGCTAGGGCTAGGGCTAGGGCTAGGGCTAGGGCTAGGGCTAGGGCTAGGGCTAGGGCTAGGGCTAGGGCTAGGGCTAGGGCTAGGGCTAGGGCTAGGGCTAGGGCTAGGGCTAGGGCTAGGGCTAGGGCTAGGGCTAGGGCTAGGGCTAGGGCTAGGGCTAGGGCTAGGGCTAGGGCTAGGGCTAGGGCTAGGGCTAGGGCTAGGGCTAGGGCTAGGGCTAGGGCTAGGGCTAGGGCTAGGGCTAGGGCTAGGGCTAGGGCTAGGGCTAGGGCTAGGGCTAGGGCTAGGGCTAGGGCTAGGGCTAGGGCTAGGGCTAGGGCTAGGGCTAGGGCTAGGGCTAGGGCTAGGGCTAGGGCTAGGGCTAGGGCTAGGGCTAGGGCTAGGGCTAGGGCTAGGGCTAGGGCTAGGGCTAGGCTAGGCTAGGGCTAGGGCTAGGGCTAGGGCTAGGGCTAGGGCTAGGGCTAGGGCTAGGGCTAGGGCTAGGGTCTAGGGCTAGGGCTAGGGCTAGGGCTAGGGCTAGGGCTAGGGCTAGGGCTAGGGCTAGGGCTAGGGCTAGGGCTAGGGCTAGGGCTAGGGCTAGGGCTAGGGCTAGGGCTAGGGCTAGGGCTAGGCTAGGCTAGGGCTAGGGCTAGGGCTAGGGCTAGGGCTAGGGCTAGGGCTAGGGCTAGGCTAGGGCTAGGGCTAGGGCTAGGGCTAGGGCTAGGGCTAGGGTAGTCTAGGGCTAGGCTAGCTAGTGCTAGGCTAAGGGCTAGGGCTAGGGCTAGGGCTAGGGCTAGGGCTAGGGCTAGGGATAGGGCTAGGGCTATGGCTAGGGCTAGGCTAGGCTAGGGTAGGGCTAGGGCTAGGGCTAGGCTAGGGCTAGGGGCTAGGGCTAGGGTAGGGCTAGGGCTAGGGCTAGGGCTAGGGCTAGGGCTAGGGCTAGGCTAGGGCTAGGCTAGGGCTAGGGCTAGGGCTAGGGCTAGGGCTAGGGCTAGGGCTAGGGTTAGGGCTAGGGCTAGGAGACAACTCTCGTATGACAGTGAAGTCCCCAGATTGCACTTCAAGGTGTTACGTCTGTCAACTCTGATTCACGATTTCCATTATGCTTATGACCTTCAGCGGGTACGACTACGAGGACTGCTATTTGCATGTAAGATCCATCCGCTCAGCTCATGTCGACTTCCTGGATACCAATCAATCGGCTATGCCACTCACGAGATTCTCCCCCTGTCTGCCGTCCTCTCCTCCTCCCAGTTCTCATTGCTTCGCCTTTGACCTCCCACCTATCTTCCGTTTTCTCCCTTCCTTTCCTCTTCCTCTTCGCTCCTCCCCTCCCCAGCTGCTTCGTCTGGTGGCAGAAGCCTTGAACCCCATTGGTCCACGTGGCATGGTCTACCTGGCAGCAGCAGTGTCTGACTTCTTTGTCCCCTGGCCCTCCATGGTACGTTCTCCCTGACGTCGTCATGCATGCTAGTGCTACAACCATGCTCCGCCCTGCCCTCCATGCCATGCTGTACCCCATGCAACCTACCGTTCCCTCATTGCCATGGCTTCCCATTATTTTCCCAACTCTTCACATTCTCCTTCATGCTCCCGTCTCACCCCACACCCACCTCACCCCACACCCACCTCACCCCACACCCACCTCACCCCACACCCACCTCACCCCACACCCACCTCACCCCACATCCACCTCACCCCACACCCACCTCACCCCACACCCACCTCACCTCACACCCACCTACCACACCCTTGCACCGCGTGCGCATGGCACGAGTGTGATGGTGCAGCGTAAGGAGAACAACACCCCCCCTGCCCCATCCATCCACCCCACCACAGGTGGAGCACAAGTTCTACTTGGGGCCTGCTTGCGTTGTTCTCGCGTCAACCCACATCTATCTCTCCTTCCCACTCGTTTCGTCGCTGCCTACACCCTGCTGACCACCTCCCCCCCCCCCCCCGGCAGGTGGAGCACAAGGTCCAGTCAGGTGCGGGCCCTCTAGACATCCACCTGGCGCGCGTGCCCAAGATGACTTTTGAGACGTCTCAAAAGCCACTCCTCCACCTCCCCCCCTCTCTCCTCTCCCAGGTGGAGCACAAGATTCAGTCGGGGGCAGGTCCCCTGGACATCCACCTGGCGCGCGTGCCCAAGATGATTCCCCTCCTGCGCTCCCTCTGGTGCCCCGCCACGCTCCTCGTCTCCTTCAAGGTCCGCCTCTCCACCCCTCTTCTTCCGCTGCCCTCCCTCCCTCTCTCTTGCCACACTCTATTCGAAACGGTTTATCATGCTGGATGCACCGTTTATGATTGCACCCTTGCCTGAAGGGGAAACCTATAAGCGCTGCAAGTATGGAGCAGGACCTGTTGGATTCAGTGTTTTTAATGGTGGACAGGATAGGGAAGAGACGAGAATTCAGTGTTTTTAATGGTGAACAGGATAGGGAAGAGACGAGAATTCAGTGTTTTTAATGGTGGACAGGATAGGGAAGAGACGAGAAGTTGTGACAGCATCTTTACAAACCCTTGACCCCACCAGCTGAGCATCTTACCATCCCCCTCCCTCCCCCCCCCCAACACATCCCCCCAACCCCCCCTGTCCCCTCCTCTCCCCCTCCAGCTGGAAACTGACAGCAGCATCTTGAATAACCCCACCTCCCCCTCCCCCAACCTCCCCACCCCCCCCCTTCCCCCCCCTTCCAGCTGGAGACGGACAGCAGCATTCTGCTCAGCAAGGCGCGCTCAGCGCTGCAGAAGAACCACGTGCACGCCGTGGTGGCCAATGAGCTGCTGACACGTGGCAGCAAGGTGGTGCTGGTGACAGAAGAGGGGGAGGAGGTGATAGAGCGGGGCGAGGGGGGGTTGGGGGGGAAGGGGGCAGTTGCAGACGTGGAGGAGCCGCTGGTAAAGCTGCTGGCAGCCATGCACCACAAGCACTGCCAGGGGGGCTGATTCTTTGGGGCTTTGAGGTGCCTGTTTCATCAAGCAGCGGTGAGCTCTGTTGACGGGCGAGGGGGAGGAGGTGATAGAGGTGGGCGATGGGGAGATGCGGTTGGGGACGTGGAAGGGCCGCTGGTGAGGCTGCTGGCAGCCTTGCACCACACGCACTGCCAGGAGGGCTGATGGCTTGAGGCTTTGGGGCTTTAAGGCACCTGCTATAGCAGGCAGCTGTGGGCGCAGGAGACGGGGGAAGGGGAGGAGGTGATGGAGTGGGCGCAAGGGGGGAGTGGGGCACGTGGAGGGCGCTGGTGAAGGTGGTAACTGTCATGCATGTAACCACCGTCAGGGGGGCTGGTGCTTTGACGCCTCGAGTCTCAAAAGCTACCGTATGTGCCCTTTCATGCGGTATGAGGGCGCCTGTGGCAGCATGCACGTTTGCGTGCAGGTAGATCAGTGCATGAAGCTTTCTCCTAAAGCTTGGACCGTGCACGGGTGGCAGGTTTTTGACACCCAACTGGGTTTTGAGACGACTCAAAGACCATGCAAGGCATCAGGGTTTTTACATCCAGCTGTTACCATAACTAGTGCGTTACTGTGAGCCAAAGCTGCCCTCTCTGCTTGCCTGCACTGCAGGATGGGGTGTGCAGCTGCCAATTGACTGCATATGCAATAAACGAATTTACAGTTGCCATTGCCAGTACCACATCTACACAAAGCGCTACGTGTAAGTTGTACCCAGCAGAATCACTGCTATTTATTGAAGACACTATGCCACCAACAGAGTCAGTACGGTATGTTCTGCTGGCCAAGCTGGCACAACAAGCTCTGCAGGCATGGCAATCATTCCAGCAAATGGCAAAACACGCCTCGACAACTATAGAGGCTATGCAATGCATGCGATGTGCGACATGTCCCCCCCGAAAAGGCAGGCAGTCAACTTGTAGTCTGACTGTGGGGGAGCTATGCAATAAATGCGAGGCATAGGAGGGAGGAATGGGAGAGAGCCATGGGAGAGAGCCATGGGAGAGAGCCATGGAACACATGTGTGGCCGTTGAGTGGCAGTCAGTAGGGCGGCTTGTACCCTTGCTGCGGGGGGGGGGGATACCCGCCTGGCTGGGATGAGTAGCCACCCTGTTGTGTTGGAGAACCGGCATGCTGTGGGGGGTAACTGCCGGGCTGGGAGGAGTAACCACCCTGCTGTGGAGGGTTATTACCCTGCTGTGCGGGGTAACCTCCAGGTTGAGAGGAATAACCGCCCTGTTGTGGAAGGTAACCACCCTGTTGATTCGGTTGTCGGGGGTAACCACCCTGCTGAGAAGAATAACCACCCTGCTGCGGGGGGTAAGCGCTCTGCTGCCCATATCCCCCTTGGGGAGGTGGATACCCACCCTCTTGCGAAGAGAACTGGTCCGGTGCAGGGGGTGCGGAGGGGGCGGTGGGATAGCTGGAAAGGGGTGCACCAGGGTATGGCTGCTGCTGCTGCTGGTAGTAGGGGGGCGGTTGCTGCTGGCCATAAGGTGGTGGCTGCTGCTGTTGCTGTTGCTGGTATCCCATGCCCATGCCAGAGGCAGCAGCAGCATCCATCTCGAGCACTCGTGGCGGGGGAGGCAGCGGTGGGGTGGGTGGCATGCGGCCAATGCGCTTGCTGCACGAAACACATTGGGGGGAGGGGGCACAGCACGTGGGGGAATGGGGGCGGGGTGAGGGATGAGGAGGAGGAGAGATGCGTGCGGTGAGGGAGAAGCGATGCCCATGGATGGCGATTGACAGCCACTCCATGTGAACTCGAGGAGAAAGCAACCTAATCTTTTACACCTTCCCTACTCACCCCTCCCTATCCTCACCCACAAACACCCCCCACTCACCCCAGCACACCCATCTCGCTGCACGCCTTGAACTGCAGCGGCACCTCCATGAGCGCACTCAGAGCAAAGCGTACCGCCTTCTGCTCGTGCGGCCCCGGCGCTGCCAGGATCTGCGAGCAGTCCACGAACTGGAGGAGGAGGGGAAGTGGAAAGGGAGGGGAGGGTGGGAGAGGGAAGGAGTGGGGGTTGAAAGGGGGAAAGCGAAATGGGCAGCGCACCGCCTTCTGCTCGTGCGGCCCCGGCGCTGCCAGGATCTGCGAGCAGTCCACGAACTGGAGGAGGAGGGGAAGTGGAAAGGGAGGGGAGGGTGGGAGAGGGAAGGAGTGGGGGTTGAAAGGGGGAAAGCGAAATGGGCAGCGCACCGCCTTCTGCTCGTGCGGCCCCGGCGCTGCCAGGATCTGCGAGCAGTCCACGAACTGGAGGAGGAGGGGAAGTGGAAAGGGAGGGGAGGGTGGGAGAGGGAAGGAGTGGGGGTTGAAAGGGGGAAAGCGAAATGGGCAGCGCACCGCCTTCTGCTCGTGCGGCCCTGGCGCAGCCAGGATCTGCGAGCAGTCCACGAACTGCGTGCAAGGAGAGAGGGGTGGGGTGGGGGAGACGTTGGCGGGGAAAGGGAGGGGGGGGGTTTGAAAAAGGAAGGCAAGGGAAGTGGGGAATAGGAAGCGAGAGAGATGAAGGGAAGTCACAAGCCCGGTGGTCCTTGTGCACGTTGACTGCACAGGAGAGAAAGACCCAATGAAGGGTGTGTGGCAGAGTGTGTGCAGGATGCACGCGTGTTTCCACACAACGCAATGCAACAGGGAGAAGGCATGAGGCAAGGTGCACAGCGTGTAACAGACGTTTCAGTGAGAGCAGAGGCGGCAAAGGGATGGCACGGAAAGAGGCACCTGGAAGTTGTCAAAGTTGCGCTGCGGCAGCCCGTCATCAAAGCTGTGCATCACTTCCCATGGGCCGTCGCCCAATCCCACGAGTATGATGGAGAGCGCGTAGTTGCTGACAGGGGGCGATAGCGTTGCGGCGTGCGAGGAGGGAGAGACGGGCGAGAGAGGAGCAGAGAGAGCAGGGAGGGAGAGAGGAAGAAGGAAAGTGAGAGAGAGAGAGAGGATGAGTACCTGGAAGTTGTCGAAGGCCCTCGCGGGGAGCAAGTCGTCAAAGCCATGCATCACGTCCCAGGGGCCGTCTCCCACGCCCACCAGCACTATGGAGAGCGCGTAGTTGCTGTAGATGGGGGGAGGGGGCGGAAGGGGGGGGTGGGGTGTGGGAGAAGAGAGGACAGAAGATTGAGACGGTGGTAATGGGGAGGGAGATAGGCGACAGGAGGGCTGTCACCCATGCCCACCAGCACTATGGAGAGCGCGTAGTTGCTGGTGAGGGGAAGGGGAAGGGGAGGCAGGGGAAAGGCGAAGGGGAAGGGAAGGGGAGGGGAAGGGGAGGGGAAGGGGTAAGGGAAGAGGGGGTGGCGAGAAGTGAGATGGTGGTGGTGGGGAGAGAAGTGAGTAAAGAGGGGAGGGATGAGAGACCTGGGAACAGCGAGGACGGGTGCGTGCACTGCGATGGGGGGAGGGGAGAGAAAGAGGCAGGGGAAGAGTTGGGGAAAAAGGAAAAGAAAAAAAAGGGTCCATTCCAATGCACCGCAATGCACCGCAATGCACCCCTCACAAGCTCCTCACCTGGCGGCAACGATGGCGTCCACAGTGGCGCGCTCCTGCTTGCTCAGCTGCCCGGGCGGCACGTCCGCACTGCGCGTCACCTGTGGAAGGACGAGGCGGGCGCAGGAGGCCATTCATGCAAACGGACAGAAGGGGGGAAGGGACGTGAAGGATAAAGGTCATGGGGGAACAGACAAGGGAGGATATGGGAGATGAAAAGAGGTCACGGGGGCCACGAGGGGCCATGGGATGGGAGCGGAGCGGAGCAGAGCAGAGCAGAGCAGAGCAGAGCAGAGCAGAGCAGAGCAGAGCGGAGCGGAGCGGAGCGGAGCGGAGCGGAGCGGAGCGGAGCGGAGCGGAGCGGAGCGGAGCGGAGCGGAGCGGAGCAGAGCGGAGCAGAGCCGAGCAGAGCCGAGCGGAGCAGAGCAGAGCAGAGCCGAGCGGAGCGGAGCAGAGCAGAGCAGAGCAGAGCAGAGCAGAGCAGAGCAGAGCAGAGCAGAGCAGAGCAGAGCAGAGCGGAGCGGAGCGGAGCAGAGCAGAGCAGAGCAGAGCAGAGCAGAGCAGAGCAGAGCAGAGCAGAGCGGAGCGGAGCGGAGCGGAGCGGAGCGGAGCGGAGCGGAGCGGAGCGGAGCGGAGCGGAGCGGAGCGGAGCGGAGCGGAGCGGAGCAGAGCAGAGCGGAGCGGAGCGGAGCGGAGCGGAGCGGAGCGGAGCGGAGCAGAGCAGAGCAGAGCAGAGCAGAGCAGAGCAGAGCCGAGCGGAGCGGAGCAGAGCAGAGCAGAGCAGAGCAGAGCAGAGCAGAGCAGAGCAGAGCAGAGCAGAGCAGAGCAGAGCAGAGCGGAGCGGAGCGGAGCAGAGCAGAGCAGAGCAGAGCGGAGCGGAGCAGAGCAGAGCAGAGCAGAGCGGAGCAGAGCAGAGCAGAGCAGAGCAGAGCGGAGCGGAGCGGAGCGGAGCGGAGCGGAGCGGAGCGGAGCGGAGCAGAGCAGAGCAGAGCAGAGCAGAGCAGAGCAGAGCAGAGCGGAGCGGAGCGGAGCGGAGCGGAGCGGAGCGGAGCAGAGCAGAGCAGAGCAGAGCAGAGCAGAGCACAGCAGAGCAGAGCAGAGCAGAGCAGAGCGGGTACCTACCTGACCATCAGCAATGATGAGCAGCATGTGGTAGTTGCTGCCGCCACTCTCACTACCTGCTATCACCGCACTGTACCACACCGCACCTGGCCATCAGCAATGATGAGCAGCACGTGGTAGTTGCCGCCACTCTCCTCCACTATGCGCACCGCCGCATCTATTGCCGGCGCAAAGGACGTGGGGCCTGGGAGGGGGGGAGAGGGACAGAGAGGGCAAGCATGGGGAGAGGGAAAAGGGATGGCTGGCGAATAAACGCCGCCGCCACTCTCCTCCACTATGCACACCGCCGCCTCTATTGCTGGCGTGAAGGATGTGGGGCCTGGGAGGGTGAGATGGGAAGAGGGGGATTGAAGGACGGTGGTGGAGGGGGGGGGGGCATGAGAGGAGGTAAGCGACGAGATGTGTGCAGGAGAGGTAAGGAAGCAGCAGTGCACCTGAGAGCTTGACGTGGGGAGCGATGGCCCGGTAGCGCGAGAGCGTCTCTGCAATGCCGTTGCAGGAGCGGTTGTCACGGTTGAATGAAAACACTGCCTTGTCGTGTGTTGTGGCTGAGAGGTGGAGTGAGTGGAGTGAGAGGGAAAGGGCGCCTTGACTTGAGGCGCGGGCTTACTCACACGCGTTTGCACGTGTGGATGCATGCAGGAGGTGGGATGCGCAATTAGGATGATGTGAAACAGG